CATCATCTGGAAACACTGATGTCTTTTTTTTAGTCACAGTTTTAAAGGATGCCAGCCGGTGACGTGCCTGTTTCATAGTTTGACTAAGCTGCCAGGGAAAGAGAAAAAAAGCAAACCAAAACAGGTTAAAGTCTTTTTTTTTTTTTCAGTTTTTTAAAATTGATAATAGTATATATTTATGGGGTCCAGGAATTTGTTACATGCATGGAATGTGTAATGACCAAGTTGGGATATTTGGGGTATCCATCATCTTGAGTATTTACCATTTCTATGTATTGGGAACATTTTAAGTCCTCTCTTCTAGCTACTTTGAAATATTCAATACATTGTTGACAACTATAGTCACCGTACTGTGCTATCATTAGAATTTATTTCTTCTATCTAGCTGTATGTTTGTACCCATTAACCAACTTTTCTTCATCCCCATCTCCCACTCACAGACTCTTCCCAGTCTCTGGTATCTATCATTCTATTCTCTCAGGTTAAAGTTTTAATACTACATGCACAAGTGTTCCAACAGGAAAACAGCTCCCTATTATTAAAAAATACCAGACCTAAGACAAGAGGATTACTTGAAAAGGATACTTTGATCTGCTGATAGTGTGGTACAGCATTATGGTCATTATTCTGAGAGACTGTACTTCACAATTTGATTTAAGGGCTGTTACTCAAATCAATTTTTGTAATGTATGCCTTATATTAAGTAGAGGCACAAAAATATCAGAATTTAAAATCTGAATTAATACACTTGGAAATTACTGAGCTGACATATTCCCTACCTTCCATCCATCTTTTCAACAAGGAGTTATTTCTTCAACTGGTCCTTATGTGCTTAATTTTTTGTCACTCCTTGTTAGAAGACTCTATTTGTAGCTCCCCTAAAACCCTTTTTGTCCCTTATTTACATGAATCCCTCCTCCACCCCTAATATTTGAAGACTACAGCTACTTAAAGTCTTTTCCCAGATCTCCCTTTCTCCAGGAAGCCTTCCTAAATTATTAGGTCATTAAATATGAAATGTCTGATTTTGAATCAAAAGTTTAGTTTGTTGTATCTCAAACAAAAAGCAGTACTATTAATCAAAGTATGCACCTAAACTCTCAACATATCTTAACGGTTTTGCTATCTTAACGGTAGTTTTGTTTATGCCAGCAACAAAGAAGCCTGGAGAGCGAGTGGCAATGAAATTGCAAATGGCATTTAATACAGCTTGTTGAGAACTGAATATTTTTCCTTGCAAGAAGGAAAGTCTGGAAGAAGTGGTAGTCAGTTGGTGCAAGGTCTGGTGAATACGGTGGATGACAGAGAGTTTCCAAGTCCAGCTGCTGTAGTTTGAGCAGCGTTATTTGTGCAACGTGTGGTCAAACATTGTCTTGCAAGAGGATTAGCCTGTCTCTGTTGAGCAATCTCGGCTGCTTCATCACAAGCATCCTCATCATTTCATCCAATTGGTTGCAGCACATATCCATTGCAATCGAATGACCAGGTTTTAGGAAGCTGTAGTGGATAATACCAGCGCTGGACCATCAAGCAGACACCATTAGCTTTTTTGGATGAATATTAGGTTTTGGACTGTGTTTTGGCACTTGCTCTTTATCTAGCCATTGTGCTGAATGCTTGCAATTGTCAAAAAGAATCCATTTTTCATCACACATAACAATACAGTGTAGAAATGGTTCATTTTATGTCATGACAGCAAAGAAATGCAAGCTTCGAGACAATTTCTCTTCTGAGAAAATTCATGCAGAACCCATCTATCCAGCTTCTTTATCTTGCCAGTTTGTTTCAAATGGTCCCATATTATTGGAATAGTAACATCAAACCTTGCTGCAAATTCACGTGTAGGTTGAGATGGATTCACTTCCACTACAGCTTTCAGCTCATCATTATCCACCTTGGTCTCAGGTCGCCCACAGGGCTCAATTTCAAGATTAAAACCACCAAAACAAAACTTCTCAAACCATCAACATATTGTGCGTTCATTAGCCACATCCTTCTCAAACA